CATGCATCCAATGGCTGGAGGAGATGGTGGCAATAAGGTGCTGGGAATTCTGAAGAGGACTGATTAGCTCATGGTCTGCCTGGGTAGGGCACACCCGGAAACTGCTAAGGAGCTTGTTCAGCCCCAGCTTCCCTGGCAGGGAGCGGTCACAAAGAAGACAGCGAGGAGCGACAGCATCATGACATGGCTGCGAGGCAGCTTGCCAAGTCTCGGAGCTAAGAGTTGTCGCACGTGCCCAAGCAAAGCCCAGAGCAAGCAAACCCTGACTCGGTCCCAGAGAAGAGGCCTTCCAGACCAGAGAATTCTTATTACTTCTGAGTAGATTCTGATTCCAAGTGGTAACCTTTGCTTCCCAAATGAACCCAGAACGAGACGTGTGGCCCGTGAGTCCTGGGCAGCCGCCGTCACAGATGGAACCCAACCGAGAAGTAGCACCTTCCACAGAAGGGAGGCTGGCGTGAGAACTGGCCGATAGGCTGGACTGACCGCGACCCCCTAAGAACCAGCTTTGGGCTGATGCCACTGCTGCTGACCCTGTGCCCCTCGTGAAGTCGGAAGCCCTTGTCCCCGACGTCAGCCAAAGGCTCGTCCTGCTGTGTCTCTGCGTGAAGGCCGCCGTGGGCACAGGGCTCTGCGGGGAGGCAAGCGTTTCCAAGTTAGCTCCCGACTAAGAAGCCTGTCCAAATGGAGGTCTAGTTTCCCAGTAGAGCGTTCTCTTAGCTACACAAAGAGGGTCGAGAAGACGCCCCTCAGCAGAGACGATCATGCTGGACAACGCTAGGGAGCCCCTCTCACCAAAGGCAAAAGCCTGGGCCCGGTTTGAAGGAGACGGAAGGTTGGAAAGGAAAACGTCCCGCCCAAACACTTTCCAAAAACGTCAAAAGGGGAAATAAAACGAAACAAACAACCCTGAAACCATCGACCCTAATCACAGCTGGCAAGAAGGGACAGTCCATACCCGCTGAGTGGAAAGCGGCTTCCTGCATGCATTTGGAGCGCGGGCGCTTCCACAGCTCTGCTTCTAGAAGTCTGGCATGCGATGGATGACGCAGAGCCACAACCTGCTTGGAGCCCCAATGCCTTGGCCGGCAAGAAGCACTGACGGGAGTCGAATGCATTTTAGTTTCTTTCCCCCCAAAACACAGAAAGCATTTCTTCTTCTTTATCTTTAACTCTCCATAGGAAGCATTTCCTGTGTCACACAGACACATGCTAATGGAGCAGAAACAAGGCTTTCAAAGACTCTTACCCCGACAGAATGAAAAGACTCCTTCAAATGACTAGTCTTTGACATCAAAACACCGCAGACCTTCGCAACCCTCGGGACACGTGAACACACACTAACACGGTGTGACTGATTCCACCGGTACAGGAGAAAGAGCCAAGCTTTAGACGAAAGCGCCAGGGAGACCAGGCGCTGGTGAAGGCCGGGTCGGCCCGCCGCTGCACCCCAGCAGAAAACTGGCTCTGGCTGGAGCTCCACGGGCAGCTCTGGCTCTCAAGGGGCTCCAAGTGGGCGGTGCCCAGGCCTACCTTCAAGGTCTTCACGGCCACGGTCAGGCTGTACTTCTTCCACACGCCTTCGTACACCTCCCCGTACTGGCCTCCTCCCAGCTTGTGCTTCATGGTGATGTCCGTGCGCTCCATCTCCCACTTGTCGTAGTTGGGGGACACGCCGTAGACGGTGGGCTTGTTGCGCTTGGGGGCTGGATAATGGAGAGTGGTGATGAGCCCGTCGGCCACAGTGGAATGGTGATGGACCAACTCGGCCAAAGTGTTGAAGCGGCTCTCTGAGGAGACGTAGAGCTGAGGAGAGAGAGCGGAGAGCTTTCAGCCGCCGTCGCGGTGAATGCAAACCAGGCTGAGACGCCAGTTTCGCGGAGGCCTCATTTAGAGCAACCTGAGCCTCAGATAACACGTCTCCGTGCTGGAGCTCGGGGGCACAGGCACGGGTGGTCTTTCTCCAGAGGTGCTGTGAGCTTATTTCTAAAGCAAGGAGAGACCAGAAAATGGCTCCAGGCCGTTGCACCTGCTGCCCTCCCTGCCTGAACGCCTCTCCCGCTGGACTCTTCCTAAGCCCAGCTCTTACCATGTGAGCCAGTGTAAGTGTCTGTGAGAGCCTCTCTGGTCACCCACTTAGAAGTCATCCGTCACTTATTTCTCTTTTGGGGACCTGCCACTAACAGACTTGCTATTTGCTTATTGCCTGTAGCCCGCAGGTCCCCAATTTTACTTGGCCTGTTGCCCCTTTTTCTGGAAAGCAAAACTCAACCCCGACTGGCAAGGATAACCTTTTGTACTACAGCCCACAACCTACCACAGAGTGTAGTGTTGGCGGGTGCAGCCGCCTGCGGTATTCCAGTGCCTCACCACACTAGCCTCTATGCTTATGAGCAGTGCTTTAAAACCCTACCTGGTCAAGGCTGAGAAGAGAACATCAACACAGAATAGGTACTCAATGGACAGCTGTTGATTACATTAATGGATCTGGGTGTTGTCAAGTCGATTCCAACTCACAGAGATACCACGTGACAGCACAGACCTGCTTCATGGGGTTTCTGCGCTGTCATCCCGGACCGAGAGGAACTCTGGTGAGTTAGGCAAGACTGACCGTTCAAACCAACCAGTCGGTCCATGGGAGAGACGAGGCTGTGTGCTCCTGTGAGATCCACA